GGAGAGGAAACTTGGAGAACCACCAAAGCTATCATCCAGAAGATACAAGTGTTTATTAACAGGAGAAAGCATTCCGAGAAAACCAAGGATCCTTGAACACCTGTTTTATCCTGGTACGTAACTCGTCTATGGTGAAAACACACAGTCCAACTTGGAATTAAATACTTGTTAAATAAATCTTTGTTCGTAAGCTCCTAATAATCTTCATATATGATTTCAGTTGGTATATTTATATTTGGGCTGTTTACCCAGTGAATTTTCAGTTAGTTTTACTTCAGTGCTCACTTATATTTCTATTTAATGAAAAGCGATTACTTCAAACGCTATGCATGTGGTATATATTCTTTGTGCATGAGAAGTAAGAGGATGTTCGAGAATGTTTGAGGTCTAAAAAACGTTTGTACAAACACAGATTGTAAACTGTTTCTTCAACAGAGTGTTGTTGAACAGAAAGGAGTACTTCGTAGGCGCTCAACTTCCAGATCAAGTGGTTAAATTCCATAAGGATTGATCGTGCACTGACCGAATTGCAACATTACAGATTATTTGAGGAACAGTCAATATGATATAATTCACCAGTGCACATTATTTTCGATTACTACGAGAAAGCACTCAACTGTCTGGACATAAAGACAATGTGAAGGACAGCACACAGACTCCTTAAAAGTCGAAACTGTTGTCAAACGATGTTTCTCTCTCTCACCCTTTCTCATTCTCTTAGTGGTTGACTGGATGTAGGTGAACTCCACTGGATGAAGCTAGTTGAACTCTGATCGGAAACTGCAAAGTGGTCTCATAGTAAGTCGGAAGAGTTATGCACTTTTGTTGCCGATTGTATAATCAAGTTAATTAGGGATATTTAAACTGAACTTGGAAAATATCCGCAACACCCTTTGGTAAATGTGACATACTAAATTCACACACTAGATTTACTATTATTAGTTAGGCCTTATTCATTCAAATTTAAACTGAGTAATCGTTAAGGAAAAATTCTAATTTCAACATTTATGTTTCAGTCGTACTGAATTTTTATCTTATAATGTATTGTTGTCTGTTAACAAATAGCTTCATAAATAATCCAGTATTAAGTACTGTTGATTTCAGTATCTTTTGAGTCAGTTTACTTAACTCTTCATTATATTATTAAGAAATGAGAAAGTGACATTTATATATGTACACTAAATATTTTGTTTGTGCAAGATAGGTTAAATGATTTTAATTAAAGTAAACCGTTTTAAGTAAATGTTACTATCAGATTATATGCATCGATTTCTATGAAAATGTTTAATGTTCGGGTTCTGAGTGTTAGTCTAATGTCGAAGTTTAACAAAATAACGCTTATCATTTTTATTAAGTATGTTATTTAACTATGAACAACTTACCTCGTGTCCTTGAAGTAAGCCAGAGTAATTCTAGTAACAGGAGTTGTACTTTGTTTGGAAAACGTCATCAAATCATTCTGAAAATAAATTGTGTAACAATATTATCGTTTCATTCAAATAATATTTCGGGTTCTTAAATAATGTTCATTGTTAAAATATAATTTTTGCATTTCCTTTTCTTTTCTAATCACATAAAATTATAATGCTTCTAATTATGTCCAAGAATGAATACTTGTATCTTGAAGTACATCATCCCCGGGAACTGACTTTCAGTGATTTATCCACTGTTTAAATATTGCTTTAGTTAACTGTAATCAAATCGATGAATAAATCGTGGTGGTGCCTTCTCTGCTTATATTTACCTAACAAAAACAACTGAATAAGTTTAGTCTGTCAAATGTCTAGTTGCCAAGAGAAAACGTGACTGAACAACGAGCAAAGCCTAGCAACTAATTAATATATGATTTCGATTTCTCATCGATTTCTACTGTGAAATGAGTGAGTATAATTGCCTTCAGCTGTGCGGAACGAAATATTTCATGCTAATGACTCTGCTATGTTAGTATTATAAATTGCTTCACGCATCTTATTTACTTGCTTGCTCCTGTTCACCCAGATTCAGAATAAGCCGCTGACCAGCATTCTCCAGCCTACTCAGTTTTGAGACATTTTTCCCAGTTCTATCCAATTCCTGTTCGTTCTTTTCACGTTTGACTATAATTCTCGGTGTATTTTTATTGTCTGTTCTGCTTCCTTTTCTTTGGATCTAAAGATTTCAACTTGAGCCTTCTCTCGTAACTCTCTTGGATGCATACCTCAATGTTTGTCTAGCCTAGTTCCTACGCTACTTCCCGATTTCTCCGCCTGTTAGAATCGGGTTTGTTTTCTTCAACAGTAGGTTCTTGCTGATGGTTCCTGGTCAACAGTATATTGCGTAGACGATTGTCAATAGACACTTGTATCTTTTGTATGATGGCCAAGTTTTTGTTCCATAGAATGGAACTGCTTTGAAATTTGTGTCGAAAATTCTGACTTTGGCGTTAGTCACTGCTGTGTTCAACCATAATTTCTTTGCTGGAATGTTGTCCGGTCCTTGAGCATTGCTACTGCTGATAAGATTGAGGACCATTCCGATGTCTTTATTTGTTGGTGGATGAACACCGACCGATTGAGAGGTCTGTGTGTGCTGATTGGACGATTGGTGAGTCCATTTTAACAAACGTATGCAAAGATTACCCGAAGTGCACACTTTACTTACCTCTGTGTTCTTTAATCACACCGATTACTTTACCTTCCTTGCTTTACACTGATCGTTCTGGCTTGGGATATTTTCCAGCAATCTTCTTCCTTGTATCATCAAGTTAGCTCGCGATGGTTTATCTGAGAGCTTCTTGTTCTCTCATCACTTCATCTTTTACGTAATTATGTTTGAAAGTTCTGATTCTCCCCTCCACTTGATTGCTTGCATCTGGGTTTTCAGATTGTGCCTTGGCTTTCTCCACTCTTGTTTGAGTGATATTTATTGCTGCCTTCTTGATCGTTATTTCTTATGTCTAATCCAGGTTATCCACGGTGTGCTGTTTCGGGTGTTGCTGATATTTTAGCCGAAAACCTCATAACATGTTGAAGTTATTTATTTATTATTCCCTTCTCAGTTGTTTTCCTTGGTAATTTCCTCTTCATCAAGTAGATTGCAAAAAGCTTGTACTTATTGCTGAACAACTCCTGCTTATTTTGAATAAGGCTTTGATGATCCTAGGGTTCACAGGATTTAAATCTTCTCAGTGCGCTTTGTGCTGCTTCGGACAGCACCGTACTGTTAAGCGCACTGCTATTTGCTTGTCTAGTCTCCTATAACGTTTGAACATTCTCTGGTAAGGAGAAAAGGTATCGAATTCGTGAATTCAGCTGACTTTAAGGTTTTTAATAGTCTCGATAACTCTTCTAGACAGAGAACTTCTAAATCTCGGAGCAGAGTTTAAATGGTTTGAATTGTTTTTTCCGATTATCGTATTTTCCGCAAGTTTGATTACCACTAAAATTGGCATCCACTCATTATCAAGCTTCTCTTACATGACATTTGACAGATAATTTATGCTATTCACTTTAAAATTTATCTCATGCTAACTCCTTTTTAAATGCATTGAACACAAGATCACACATTCGGTATTTGATTATCTAGTAACTAAATGCCTGAAAAGTTTTTGCATAATAAATGTCCGGACAGTCAGTTTTATGGTTCTACCAAAATTTTAAATATTGAGAACAATTCGGGAAGTCAAACAGTACGGTTTTTGCATGATTCGCCCACATCTGTAATGAATTTGTGCATAAAAGTCAGTTAGAATTCGTCTTATACAAAATGTGAGCTAGTTAAGCGCGTACAATCGGTGCATCTTGCTTCATGACGTCTTGGCAATGTGAAAATCACAAAATAACTAGTGATGATATAGTTGTGCCAAGGACAGTGAAGTGCGTTCTAATTAGCCAGTTTATAATTATATACTGCCCCGTATGCATCCTGTCTATTTCAAGTAGAAACTAAGGAGATTTGTATGCAAATACGGGAAATGCATGGTTCCCACGAAATTATTAAATAAATAAATAAAAACGACGCGGCTTTGAAGTTAGTGCATAATAAATGTCTGGACAGTCACTAATATGGAAGCATGGTGAGAGTGAGTTCACGCGTACAGATGAATCAGCGCAACCGTGAGCTTCATTAGGTAGTTGTACAAAATCATGTTACCCACTCGCCATGCGCATTTTTGTGGGTTGCCGATTACATATACTTCTCAAGTTTGACCGCAGAAATTTCATCTGTATTTTTGAATTACGTATTTCTGCCCACACTTATGTTTAAGAAGAACATAAGTTACTTTTCAGCTTCAAATGCTAATGTAAATATATTGAGAAAAAGTGCTTGAATGTTTGGACCTGCAATTTCAAAGAGCATGCATGATATTTCTTTCGCACCAGAGATGACAGTGGGTTTGTGGGTTATATTGACGGTTTGAATATTGCTAAGATGCTAGTTGATGGTACTGAGATGAAACAGGTATGATGACTGAGCAAGAACCGTTTACTAACCGTTTACTTTTTCACTTAACTTCTACAAAATGCGCAATAATTGACATGTCAGATTTCAACAACCAAAGATTTTCGACTACCAGTAGTGATAAGGAATTCAGGATCTCCACATGAAAGAATGTCAGTGTTAAGAAGATTCGTTTGACAGTTAACGGAATATTTAATTTGAAATGACACTAAAACTGTGTGGCCTGATTTTGAATTAATCGAATGAATATAGTCCATGAATTGTGCGGTTTCGCCAAAGAAGTGTAAATTCACAGTAGTAAGAAACAATATTTCAATCTTGCGATTCAACTGAGGCAAGATTGCACTTTTCGTGTCCTCAGTGTGAACGTATCTCACTCCCACTTATCCTTACTCTCAGTTTACTTTGTTCTCATTTCATTCGATGAGAAAATAATGGTAATGAGGTCACGGGAAAATTGCAAACCAGTGAAGAGTGCAGAAACATTTTTCAGATCTCCCCTTCTAATAACACTATATAAACTCTTCAGCTGCATATTAATTTTGTTTCTGATTTTCACAATGAAACTGATCGCAGCAATATTTCTTATCATATTTCTATTGTTCGGCAATAATTCTGAACACGTTTGTCAACTTCCTAAATTGGAGGAACCGGTACGTTTTCAGTTTGTATTTATTTTCTGATTATTCTTTTTCAGAGTTTTGGTGTTTACTCTGGTTCCATAAATAAACGCTATTTGGGTCCGCAACGTTTGAAAATTACAACATATTATGATAAAACAGTAATTAATAGTTATGCTGCTGAAAAAATCGTGGTTAGTTCCTAATATTAGAGTGGTTTTTTAATCGAAAATGAATGACGAATAATGGCAAATAATATTCATTCAATGCATGCTAATCTTAATATGTTTTTTAACATTCATAGATTCATTATTCTTCTGACTTGTTTTAAATGAGCAATACGATGACAGAGAAATAGCATAAAGGAGTGTATTTTGTTAGGTATGAAATTAGCATCGCTGTAGCGATGGCAGAATATAAATAACCGTACAATTTTTATTTTGACTTTCCTTGTCATTGGTATTGCATGCTACAGCTATATGTCGGAACTAAATTCTTGATTTATATGTTTATATATATATATATATACATATATATATATATATATATATATATGTAATCAAGATGTGTTTCTTCAGCACTTACATGACAACCGATCTGCTGAGTTACTTGCCACAGCAGAAAAGCGAATCACAGTTAGGATAGTAATCATTCGGAATTTTGATACTCTATCCATATCCATGAATATGACTTCGCAAAATAATATAGTTCACTTCAGTTTGCAATCTAATATCATTCGCACTGACTTCACGATAATTATGCTAAGCACTGTTTTAGACTCAGATTAGTGGTAGTTTATGCACTGAGCTAACATACATAGGAAGAGCTATTTATTCTCGCGAAGTTATACTCTTCGACGGCCACCTGTTTCAATTCCTTATTTCATCGATCATTGTCCATTACCAGACCTTAGCAAAATGTGTTCTTCGGTCTTCCACTTTTCTTTTGCCCTTCAGTATTTCATGCTTCCAATAGCCACCACATAACGTAAGATGAAATCAGAAGTCGATCCTCATTGCCTACATCACTTTTTCCGGATTTCCAAACAGAAGTTCATTCATTCTCTGCTGTAGAACGGTATATTCGATAGTGTACGGTCATCCGGAGTATCTTGCGAACATAACTGTTTTGTTCAATACCTGTGTGTTTTGTCGTTCTCTTGGTTTCCGGCGAATAAAGCAAAAGGTTTTTGTATTCGTGCATGTGGGAACATACCGATGCAAAGACAGCTGTGATACTAGCTGTCAACATTTGAATTCGCCTTTACGCGTAAGATAGTAAGGTGCATCGATGACTTTTGACGCAGACGATTCTTGACGGATTCTTGCTTTTTCTTTTACTACAGAAATCGGTAGTGTAATGCATTTTTTCAGTGCTAATTTTCGCTAATTACGAGCCCTCTAAAGCTTCACCTTTTAATCTTTACAACTGCTCATATGATCAATCAGGTTTGTCACATTGTAGTTCAGGTTTTCAGAACACCATCAGTCACATCAATACTGGTGAATTTCGCAGTTAGCTGTCATTAGTTCTGAGAAAAGAAGACTTTTTCTTCTCATACGGTGGTAGCTAATCAGTTAGAATGATTTCATATAGTTAGTGTTTCAAAACCATGGGTTTTTGTCTGTTTTGTATTTGTAAATCGCTCTTTATGCTCGTTACGTGTCACCTAAAACCGAGGAAGGATCAGTGTTAGAATCTTATCCCCTCGATATGTTGTCATATTCTGATCATCTTTGGTGATTGATCGAGATCATTTGTAATATAAATAACCTAAATAATGTATGATGGGAGAAGTTTCGTCAAAAGATGTTTCTCGTACGAAATGTACGAAATAAAACGTCCTCCTATCTTCAACTGATACTTTCTCACAATATACATCATAATTCGTTCCATCACATTAGTTACACCTTGTCTGAATACTCAAAGTGATTTTAGGTTATGCAGTTGATCAGTTCATTTAGCATAACTGCATCGTGTGAGGAGTTTTCGGGTACTATCACTACGCTATGAACATTATTAGCAGACATCGATAGAGGATAGTAGTTAAATCGAAGGTGCATTTTTCGGTTTTACCACTATATTTATCTGTTATTAAAACTTCTAACCTGAAAGTATTATTATTTATATCATTGTTGTTTTTATTCTCCTATAACAGCATGTTACACGATGCATGCCAGTTTAGAGGCTAGATCAAATACTTACAAATGCTTTCATATTAACCGTGTAAGGTCAATGAAGTTAGGTTAAACATACGAGTCTGTCTCAGACAGCATATTTACATCACGTCACTGACTTGAACAGTTTCAAACAGTCATATTTTCATCTGGGGTGCAAAAAAAGTCAACGCCAATAGTAAACGTGTTGGCTGGTTAGCATAATGCAGTAGTTTGTTTGTTGAAAAGTGTCAATCGGAAAGTGCTTTATACAAGCTTTTGCCAAGGCAACCGCCTAAACCATGCACCACGGATGTTCCATCAATAATAGGGTCATGAGAAGGGAAAAAAGAAGGACGAAAAAAAGCAGCACAAAAGCAACTGTACCTAGATATATGTATATAACCAATGTACTGTGTAACCTGTCTTGATGAAGTAGACAATACTGTTAGTAACTCAAGTTCAAATTCATGGTGACCACTAAAAATCAAGTAAATTTTAGTAATATAGCCAACAAATGAAGAATTACAGAAATTAAGAAATAAAGAATTGTCCTACGTGTTGTGTGATGTTGACATAAGAGAAGTTGAAGTAAGTAGGTTGATACCTATACATTGAAAGTGAAATATCAATCAGAAGAGTAAAGTTTGTAAAGCAACATAAAAGCATTGGTAATCATACTTTTTATTTTCTGACATTTTTTTGTAATAAACATTGAACTCTCAGTCTTACTGCAATGGCCTGATTAAGTATGCTTCGGGTATTCTTGATAAAAGAGTAGCGATCGTAGCATATATATATTTAAATATTGAAGTGATCTGCGCAGAATGCACATGTGTTTAAGAAAACTGATCAATGGTTAGCAATTAGTCCATATTCGGAAAAGAATAAATATAGTTTGGGTTTTTGTCAAGTATACATTTCTAGCACTAATTGCATAACTAATTCATGTTCTTATACATTTTAATTTATGCCACAACAGACAGCAATTGAAAGTAGTTCCAGATATTGGGAGAAAGCGTTGATTGTTAAAACAAGTGCCAAGCAGAATTTGTTTGTTGAAAGGTAAAATTATAAATGTGTCTTCCCTGTAACTAATGTTGATATTGTGTATTGAAATAATTTGAAAATAATGAAAATAATGGTTTACTTAGTGTTTTTATTATTGGTAATAATACTGTTAATGTGTAGTATATGGCCGGTACATCAATTTCCATTTTTTATTGTAAAATCGTTGACCAATCATCTGAATGTCGTCTAGTTTCCCATGATTTAATTCATCTGACCTATTTCTACATGCGTTCCATTTTCAACGTGTAACGATAGATTGAAAACAAAAATACAACCAAGCAACTGATGGTTTCAAAATGTGCAAAAATAAACTAACCTCCATGAACTCCGATTGAAAAAATGGTGAAATGGGCTCCAAAATTAGTGACCAGCTTCGTGTGGAAATACTCGGAGATCTAGGGAGAAGAAGTTAACATCAGTGGAGTCCAACCCTGTCGGCTGTAGGTAGGCAGTTACTACCTAAGTTACATTACTTAGGTTTCGCAAAATCCATAGATCAATCAGAGTTAGACATGAAAAATGTTAGATACCGACTCAACGGTACGAAGCTTAGGTGTTCGCGCACAATATCAAAGGTCGAGGGTTCGAATCCTGCTAAGTGGAGTAGCAGTCGTAAATGTGCAATTCTGATGAGTCGTATGCCAGGACGAAACGAGCGTCTTTCAGTGCTCTGAGGTTTCTAATCATTGAGGTCTCACAATCATTGATTATTGAATTTAAATGTGTGAAAGACTGTCAAACTTCATGACTCTCATTGAAAATCGATTATAGGATAAATCTAATATCATATTGAATTAGACTAAGTTGAATTGGACTTTGTCAGGCGAATAATATTTATTTCTTGGTTTTGGATCGTCATCACATTTGAGTTATGTCTGTTTTTAATTTTCATTTTAAACCTAAATGTATTACTAAAGGTGACAATGTATATTTTGTCAATGCAATATTATGTTAGTCGTTTATTTACGAATCTACAAAATTCAAATAGTTTGATTTTATCATGATGGATTCATTGATATTTTAGAGAATGTGAAGAGGAAAAACCGAAAGTATCGAATTCTTATGAACGGATACCGCACTGTTCTCAGGTACATTGTAAACATGACGTATTATGTAGTGGTCTACCTGTTCCTGATAAGTATATAAAGGTAAGTGAATGTGGAGAACAGGAATTCATATATACTAAGTGGCTTCATTTATGGTTATTTTGAATTATTTGTTGCTATTATAAATTATTATCTTTTAATTAGTTGAGATCAGTGACTCTTAAAACTTGAACGAAAGGTTTGAAATTGTTTTTACAATCATGATTAATCGTTGCTTTTATATCAACAAAGTCTTTAAATTTCAATTAGATTTTACTTTCATTTATCGTTGATGCTGTATATTCTGATTGATTTTCTTAAGCGGCTTGCACCAAACAACCAGTTAAAATTTTGAAATTAGTGATGTCTAGTTCTTTCGAGTATTTTCCAGCTGTGTCGAGTGTGAATTAGTGCCCACAGAAAAGTGATGTGACAGGTAATCATTTACACTGTCGAAACCTGACTCGCCAATGTGAAATATGAGTATTCACACGCAAGAGCCGATGTCCTGAATTCAATTCATTGTCGTGATTGATGATGATTCTAGATTTCTCACAGTGGTAGAAAACTGATTCGCTCCTAATTTTATTGAAAGAAGCAAATGTGCATTGTTTGCGAAATAACAATACAGCATTTCAATTAAGACTATCATATGAAACAGAAATAAAAGAAAACACAAATAGTGATTGTTGGTGTATATGTTTTGTGCATATACTGCGCGGAATTTCTAAAAGTTATTAAACGAACAACATTTCTATTCATCATGATTTTGCTTCAGAAACGGAATAGGTCAACAAATTGTGACAAAAATGCAGTAATATTAATGACGGTCGTGATAAATAACACTGGATGAAATGAAATTAAATGCTAGAATTTGTGTCATTTCAAAATTTTCAGGGATGTTATCATCGTAAATATGCTGAAACCTGGCAGGAGTATTATGATGGAGAAGGAGTAGCGCCAAATGAGCTGATACTAATTGTGAAGCATAACATTTCTCATTATTGTGGTCAGTCCAGTTTTGCATGGTCCACCATTTGCGCGCGGGACCCAGATTCAAACAGGTAAACTATTTCTATTCTGTATTTTGATTTATTCCACACAGTAATGTGAAAACTCTTGAAATGGCATTTAAGGCAAAATATTTTCAAATTAGCAACAGATTATCTTACCTATCAAAAATAAGACAACCGGAAAATAAAAGCATCATTAAGATTGACGTTTCGCGATAGTTATTCATTTTGGACGTAATCGTGATGTGATGACCATGTGCATTTACAGAATCAGTTTCACATCAAATCCGCAACGTAGTGTCGGTGGCCGAAAACTCTTCTACAAATGCTTCTGTCCTGAAATCTTCTGTCAGCCTGTTCTCAATCATAATTCAATCTTTCATTGCCCTTCACCAAGTCTCTGTCCAATGTGTTCATTAGTCTACCTCTTTTTCTTTGGCCTTCAGTATTCCATGCTTCCAATCGCCTTTTTATGACATTAGACTATTTCAGCATTGGATCCTCGTCACCTTCAGCATTGTTTCTCGATTTCCTTCTCTGCCAAACAACGTTATTAACGATAGTATACGGTCAGCTGATTAGGAGTATCTTGTGGGCGTAACTGTTTCTGGACACCTGTGACTTTAGTCGTTCTTCCAGATTCAGTTGCATACAGTTAAAAATTTCTGATGTTTGCATTGGTCATGCCTAATTTTCGAGTGTGATTGAGTTGGTGAACGATGTATTGTATAGGGGGATGTTGCTTTTCCAGTTGTGCATGTTGGAACCTACCGAAGCAGACAGCTGATACACTAGCTTTCTTCAACTGCATTCGCCTTTATATGTGAGAGAGAAGCATCATATTATCAGTGAGGTCCATATCGTGCAGTTACATCGTAGTAGTACACAGTTTTGAGTGTTTTCACTGCAATATTGACATCATTACAATGTAGTGAATTGTGATATTATCTCATGACAAACACTGTATACTACAGCTAAGATGAATTTAGCTGTGTGATGTAACAGTGACAAATAAATATAATATACGAATACTCAAACTAATGTGTTTATTTTGATGCCTATAATAAGGCCATTCATAGGTGCGGTAAATTTTTGTGCATCGGAGAATGAACTTATCAAAACAGAAAATGATATAATGGAAAGTTTTGCTAAACATGAAATAGCTCATGTATTGGTAAGTTGATGCTTCGGATAACGTTTCTGAACCTGTTAATAAATTCACATTGAAGCCATTTCTTCTTGTATTATACAAAATATGATGACGTTGTTAACCCAGTACGTTTACTTGACTTGGAATGAGTTTATAAAAATTTTATATTCTATATTTAAGTTGACTGTATGTCATGTGGTTAAGAGATTCAAATTGAAATCATGAAACAATCTAAGACCGCTATTTGAAGACTCAAACGACAGGCTGGTTATTTACTCAAAGTTTGAGACTAATCGTTTGGTAATATTGCATGCAAAAATCAAACATAAGACTTCATGTTTCGTAAGTGAACGCTTAACTTCTAGACCACATTGTCAGCGTCAATCACAATTCGTCCTTGCGCGACACACTTAGATGGCATCATATTTTAAATGAATGTAAATCACTGAAACAAGAATGTGATAACTGAATGGGAAATTGAACGACTGCATTTAAAAAAGAGACTTTCAAAAATAAAACTGTTGGTATTTTCATTATGAGAATGTTTACTTTTTTCACGCTTTTTCAATTATAATAAATGAGCTGTATGCATAGTCACTAATGAAACTTGAAAATCAATGTGCATGAAGCTGCAATCAACTAATATTTGACAATGTTGGATTCCGTGAACTGTTTGATTAAATATTGAATGTTTTAGCGTTCATCTAAAAGTACCACTATTTATCACTAAACTTTAACATCATATAAAGTAAAATAACAACTTATTTCTCTCACAAGCTCACAATCAAAGGGATGTTTATAAATGAATAATGGAATTTTCATGTAAAAACAATTATCCAGCTAAACAAATGAAACTTCACTTAAACAATAAACATAATTACCCATAACGAATAAATAATTGTTTCATTATTTTTTTGGTAAGGGATTCGCTAACAGTTTATTCAGTCTTTTTGAAGATATCAGTCAGAATATTGATGTCACTAAAGAGTAAGTTTTCTTGTCGTCGACCATTCTCTTCAGTATGACTGAGTATTGTATGTTTTGTTCATTCCATTGTTCTTTGACAGTACATTTTGAATTAAATAACCTAGGTTATGGTATCTAAATAATACCGAGTAAATGAATAGTATTAATAGAAGAATCAATTATCAATACTCCACTTCAAGAACTTACCGTCTACAAGACTTATTAGTTAAAAAAACAAGAATCTGTTTACATCCATGCAAAACTGTATATACAAACGTAACTCTGTCGACTTCGATGCGTTGTGTAACGAAAATTTCTTCTTGGAAATCCAGACATTCGCCAAAGAACACTAAAAAGCACAAGCAGACCACTTATTATCCCTTGAAACTAGGAATTCTGTAAATTGCATCAAAAATAACAGTGAACGCTATTCTCAACAATACCATTATAATATACACAAACACAAATTTTGCAATAATTATTTATTTTAACTCAACTATATTTCAGAATTAAGGTATTTTTCTTATCTTCATCATATAAACAAATATCACAGTAAAGTGTCATACTGCATCATAACACCTTGACCAAAATAGATATGACATTAAAACCTGAAATTATAGTAGTTCAACTAAAGATATTATGTTTTGTTTCCTTATTTTGTCTATTTAAATGTCACTTCATTAATCCCGGTTATTTATTTATCCACTCTGAACAAGTGACTTAAATTAACTCCTGAAATAATAGAACAACAGATCATTATTATTATTACTATATTTTTAGATGTCGCCGGAATTAATTCATCATTCGATGACCTATTGAGTATCTTACTTATTTCGACAAATAAATAGGATATTGAACTACATTAGTTAAGTGTTTAACTTTTAGATAATTCAAATGAATCTGTTTGATATAAACCAAGTTTATGATTTGCATTTTTTTAAGCTACCAATCTAGAGAAGTTAAAGCGCTTACTTTGCCTCACATGATTGTAAGTCACATTGTTATTCAATTATCATAAGTTGAGACTGTTATTTTTTTGAAATGAATAAACGATTACACTTACATTTGTGAAACAAATCCGCCATCCAATATCGCAATATATCTTTTGCTTAAAATTATTTGATTTTGAGATGCGTTTCAGGGTACTAAATACCTCACTTATTTAGCTATTTTCAATTTCATTGACTAGAATATTTTGTTTGATTCAATAAGTTGTCTGTAACGTAGCGGTATGATGAGGTTAGAAGTTTTATTCTGCGATTGTGTCATTCAAAACTAATGACTTACTGACTTGTTCGCACTTGTCACCTAAGCATAGGGAGCCAACAGCAATTCTGCCACTTCTGTGTGCTGGGTTTCCCTTTCCAGTTTTCCATTATGTTTGTTCCTTCTTATTGTGCCTGTCTCCGTTTCTCAAGTTAGTGTGTTTCTTGGCCATCCGCTTTTAATTTGACATTGAGGGTTCCACGTGAGGCTTGCCTTGTGACGCATTTGGATGCTTTCCGTAATGTATATTCCATATACCTTCAGCGTTCATTGCTACAAAAATAAATCGAATTCGATTGCAATAGATTTCTTGAACTTGGTCGTATGTTTTTAGACTATCCGTTTTCAAATATGGGGTGAAGAACCATTGCTCCTCACAGTTTACTTAGTACTGTCTACTGCTCTGATGCAGATGGACGATATGGAATATATGGACTCTACATATGATATGACCCTTCACTCTCATTCATAAAGACAAATGCAGATCAAGACGGCTGGGTAACAGCAGTTAACGTTTTTTGGACTGTAATTACTTCATCGTCGTTCATCCCATTGAATTGAATAACCTTTATTCCCCTCCGCAACTCACATTTGCATCACTTATACTCATTACATGAAACAAATAAACAAACGGTTTTTTCAACTTCTAGCTGACTTACACAAAGTGTAATAATCAGACATAGTTTAACATACTAGTTTCATTGGAGGTTAGATTGTTTGTTCAAATTAGTTTCGAATCCTGTGCTACTAAAACACTATATTTAAAGTACCTGTGAATGTAGTTAATGTCAATCGATGATATCTTCTCACTAAAGGAGGAAGCAAGAAATCATTTCGGATGCAATAAACTGGATTCAATCGAATTACAGAATGGCCATCTAAGTCATAGAATCATGGGGGTAAGTAGTTCGTAACCATAAGTTCATCATTGCCTAAAGCATTTAAATTAAAACTCATTTATTATGCTATAACATGTGGAGATGGCATGACAAACTTATTTTGTAAATAGTTTCTGACGCTATTTGTATAGCAACAACCTATATGTACCATTGTTATTTTTTATTATCTGGTTTGTATGAGCTTGTACGACTGAGCGTTGCATACGCCTACGCGCTTACTCATCCTTCTCGCCTTAACGTTATTCTCTTAATACGTCTATGAACTCACATGACTTGTCTCGATGACCTTTGACCTTCTCAGTCATTCGTCGTTTTTGTTCATGTCTGTGCATACCTAATTCGGTTGTCATATGTCTGTCTTATTTTTATCTGACTTTATATTCTTAGTCATGCTCTATCTCTTTGAGTTAGCTCTAAGCATTCTCAAATTCGTATCCTCCATTCGTTCGAATTGTAACCCATGGAGTTGGCTCCAAATCCGTCTCCAGTTCACGTCGTTTCAGTTATTTTATTCACTGCTTCTCCACTTCGCTTTGTGTTATGTCCCGAATGAAGGTGATCATCACTTTGTGTTCATCTTCTGATTTATAAACCGAGCTTAAGAACACGCAGTAAATCGACGTATTACGAACATGATGTCATAGAATAAATAGCTCGTATTGCATCACCTAATGATTCAGTTTATCAGAAGTGGTCTTCATAATAGGGACAAACTGAGAAAAGAATAATATAAATGAATACTGATACAAATTCAATGAAGCGGTTCTTAGTAATTTTCGTCCATGCATCAAGATCTAATGCACCTGAATTTATCGGGAAAATAACATTCATCAATGACTCGAAGAACAAGCAGTCAATGTGGATAGCATTGAATTTCATTTATTTCCTATTTATCTCGTGTTTTAGATTTTTTGTTGTAATACTCCTGAGTTGTTTCATTTCCAACACTTGCGTTACACATATATTTGTTTACGTAGGATTCTAGTATGCACAAAGAATTGTGACTGGAGATGCAACGAACATGTTTCCATATACAGAGTTCATTTCAGCTGAATAAACCAATTATTTTTCGAAAAAATATGTTTAACATCATGGTTAATGACATGATTCTTGGAAATTTTTATAAGCATCACAAAGCAAGCAAAATTGCATATAAAGACTAGATAATATTAACAAACAATCTATGTTAACTAAGAATAGTATTTTAAAACACTTTCAATTCATGTTTTTTACACAAACTACGTAATTTTCAGAACGAAGCCATGACTTATTCCAATCGAGGTTTAAGTCCTGTTTCTAGAATCACTCTAGCTTTCTTCAAGGATACAAAGTAAGTTATGCGTATATACATATATATATATACATATACGTATACTGATAAACAATAAAAATAATTATTCTGCATACCTTGGACTGTAGATATTTACTCACGGTTTAAGAAACAAATAAAAATGTGATGAGAGATCAGTACAATTTGATACTTGCAACTAGAAGTTGCCTCGCAACAAAACCGTTATGACAGAAAATAGGTAGTTGACAGTGATTCATATCTGATGCTTCAAAGTTTGATTCTGAACTTCAACTAAATGTAAATCAACTTTCGTTGACCTTGTAAACTGGTGTAGATTCACGATAGTGAACTAATGAACCAATCAGTCAAAACAATATAAACAATGGAAATATAGTCAACAAACTGACAATAATATGTTGTTTGCCTACTAATTTTTATGGATTTATAACTCAGTAAGTCATTCATAATCAATCATCAGGTACTGCGTCAAACGCCTCCAAAATTATTAACACTACGATCAATTTATTGAAATCGGTACACGATCTACTTATTGAATATAAAATACTACAACGAAAACGTTTCCAAGACACATTTTCAGATGAATCGTCGCTTCGTTATACTTTCATTGTAGTATTGACCTAAAATGACAATAAAGTGTGTTTTTCAAAATGAAAGAAAAGCAGGAGATGCAGTAAATATAGACTAAAAAATGAAATAACACCTGTTTCTGATTTCTTTATACTTTTAATATCCGTTCGTTCTTGATGTTTTTCAATCTATTTAAGGTTATACGATGTTGACTTCTCTATGGCCGAAGACTTCACATGGGGAAAAGGACTGGGTTGTGACTTTGTGATGAAAAGCTGTAATGAATTTATTAGATCACGGAAAAGCAGGTAATGCAAGAATACAATTCCTTTACTCGAATATCATATAATTTATTGCTCCATAGTTTGTGTAATTTCAAAAAGTATGATCTTCAATAAGACTTCTCAAACAAATAATCAAGTTCTAGTACGGCAATTTTTGCTGCAGACATTACCACAACTAGACTTTGAACATACATATTTAATGAAAGAATAAAGCAAAATAGGAGATTTCCTTTTGGTTACAGTTCAAAAAAGAAGAAAAGCTTTAATTGTATTATCACTGGAAATGTAAGACGACCAGTATCATAAATGGCTCTAAATAAGTATGATTATTAGTTCTACCTAAATGTTCAACAGTGCATCTCAGTGTCACATGAGTTCAGTTACGGCACAAATAGCTCATTGGAAAATATTTGATCATCAAAATTGATTACATGAGATCTGATTCAACAGGAAGCATCAGTGTCTTTAAGCTGACTGAAACAAGTTGTTGGACAGTGCCAAATTGTTAAGATATTCATTCAATATCCTAAGACAGTTGTTAGTTGATTCCTACTAGTTTATTCATACTGGTCAATTTTATGGTCGTGAATATCAGTGTCACTTCAGATGTTGCTTCCTATTGCTCGTCTTAACTGTCAATGTCACAGACTTCGATGCTGTTTCCTATTCGACCAAAACGTATTAATACCAGGACCGGGACCTGGTCCCGGATCCCCAGTCCGGGATCCTGATTCTCTTCTGGGTTCGGACCTCGTATTTTCTGGATGCTTGTAGAATACAGGTTCTACTTCACATTCATGTCTTCTTGTTTTTGCTCAGATAATCGGATTTGAGTAGCATTTTGTGTCGCCGGATCCTCGATCCTCGCTCTCGTTTTCTGACTAGGTAAACTCGTAATAGATCAAGCACATCACGTCAACGTGTTTACGTGCAGGCATGACACAAATACAAGGGAAGTCAGGTCAGAGTGTCTTCTCACTTACTTCAACCTCCATTCTACAGTAAACAGCATTCTTAGAAGTTGAAATAAACAGTGGTAAAAGCTAACGATTAAAAAAAGCGGAATTATTTACTGCTGATACATTTGAATCAAAAAGACGTATCTTCACTTATGAATATTTACCATACTAAATAATGTTTTCAATTTTTCCTGTTATATTTACTCTGATAAACTGTCTTCAAAGCTGAAACACTAAAATAGTTGATGTGACGTTCCTTATGTTACTAAAGCCAAGCTACCATGCACTCCACAGCTCCACAGATATTTGACGCTTCCTAGCGTGAAACTATGGAACGATCCCATTGACATCTGAAAACGACAGAATTTGGCTCAACAAAGAGGGTTTTCTTTAAAATCACATCGGTTTTCAGTTTTGTAATTGTATTATTAGTACAGTTTTCATACGTCATCGTTCATCTTGAGATATGAGTGTTATTTCGTTGGACTGACTGGTCAAACTATTCAAATATCGTCGCATAATAAATAAATCGAATGAATGTTGTATCATCTTGTAACAAAGTGGTAAAATGTATTCAAAACTTTTGAATAATTTACAGTCCACTATCAAATTATTTTTTAGAGGACTGGATATCGCACCATTCTGTGAGAAAAAAAGTGAAAAAATATGTTCACGTTCTGCGAATGAATATCAAGCTTGTATCCATGATAAATCGTTTCGGTTTGCAGACACAACAAAATATCCTGGTTCCGATGATGATTGCTTCGTTCTTAGTGTAAGTTGGTATAGTTTTGGATAGAAATCTTACTGAGCACTGATATTGTGATATTCTATAATTCGGTGCATCGTTGAAAAATTGATATTATCAGTCATCTAGTGAAATTGATATTTAGGCTTTTTATTCTACTACTACTACTACTATTCTACTACTTTTCTAAGCTTACGTATATTGACTTTTATGGGAAAATGTAGATTCGTGATATTTTTCGAGCTTTGTCATCAAAGTAATCATCTGACTAAATTTTCTCAAACTAACATTGAATTTTGAATAAGTCTGAAAGCACTGTATTTCTTGACTAACTATGGAATCCATTTGACACGTTTGAGGTAAAGTGGTACTTAGTTTGAGCTTGGAAGTGAAAATAAGTTCTGCGATGAAGGATCATCTAGAGAGAGAAAGCTTCCAAAATAGAACGAAAGGTGAATTCCTTCTTCCACTGATAGCTACATTGTATCTTCACTCTTTGTACATTTATCATGACCGCTCATCAAAAGCAGTCTGTAGAGAATGCCAACGTACCAAAGTTATCTGATCAAATACACAGTCACAATGTCAACCACAGTAAATTAATATTACCTTTGTGTTATTCCAACTTCTTTGGACATTATCAGTGCAACTATTTGCATACAATGAGACATTTTCTTCTAGTTAGCACAGATAACCTGGTATCTCTTGAAGTTCCATTCCGTCTATTCCACCTTAATAAGGAATAATAATTTCCTTTTGATTTGAAATTCAACTGACTATGTGAATGATGAGAATACATATTTTGCAGAGTATGAACAAACTGATAATATTTCTTAACTAGAATAATCTTCTTCATCTGCCAATTTTTGCACGTTTTTAACGGATGGTTAATGCTTTTGTCAAACCGTAATGGACACTGATCTCTTAATTTCACTTGTTCTACTCTTTACGATTTTCTATTTCTACATTGTTCCGCATAATTTTATTCATGGGTATCCAACGCTTAGTTTTATAATGCGTATGTTCTATAGTATGACTCAAATGCCGATTGCGAATTCTATTCACTGATTTTCGATGTGAGGCTAATTAGGAAAGTAGATTATTCACTGTTATTAATGAATTCATGGATTGATTAATTTTCGATCATCATGAGGATCCTAACAGCACTGTAGGCTGTTATTTATCAGCAAAAGTCTCGTCAAGAGAGTGCTTGTTATCATGATTGCAATGAAAATCTACAACCTTTAAAACCATTTATCTTACAAATAATAATAGTTGAATGATGTGGATAAAGGCGGCTTTCTGATCAATAAAAATTCACATCTTACTATAACATATGCAAACAATTTGAAAATTATATTCAACAGCCAATTCAATTCACTAATTCCTAATTCATTCAAGTCCTGTGTGTACTGGTACCTTAACGTGGCGGTCGAGCTTGCCTATCATCATGACACGACCGAGCATATGTTTCTCTATGTCCTACCATTGTCAGCCAGGTCGTTTGAGGAACGATGAGACTAAAAGCAGCTACTCAAGTTGTTAAGGCAATGTCGTACTACCAACAGTAGAGTGGTATGAAAGCACTGAATCCTTTCTCTCGGACAACCAGCATCTCTAGCGATGCTTGCTGCTTGCTCACTAGTAAGGAATAGGTTGCAAAAATAAACAAAAAAAGATCACACGTCATTTAATCTCAAGCAATCCGTCTCTGGTCATTAAATCACTCAGTGAGCGGATCTACCACTTCAACAACTTCTCGTTAAAAGACTGTGAAAGATCGATCACAAGCAGTTGACCACTGAGCTCTGCGGTCACGCTCACAGGTCTATGAGACTAACACCGATTTACTTTCATTTACAGGTTCTTCAAGAAAAAACGTTTCCACAGTGCTGGCAGATAGGAAGTGACATCCGCCTTCATACCAGTGACAGCAAGGCTAATCATATTTCACAACCGAATCTTTCCTAAACGGCGTAACATTTCTCTTATGCTGCGTCTCGAAAACGTGCACACCGAATCCGAGTAGTGTCATTCAATTGAAGCCTCCATTTGAAGATAAATAAGCAACTCCAATATCCCTCCGTGTTTCTCGAACACCTGCTGCTTGCGCGCTGACCAAGTGACTGGAACAATAATAACTCCTAAAGATACGGACACTCATCGTTGTCTCTTCGTCGTATCTGTCCACGCTCACAATGACTTCTTTTAGTATAATAATATTTGCTGGCAACTTCAATGCTCAAGCAGGCAGGTCGAGAGAAAAGGAAATACATCTGGGTGGAACTCACGGTATCGCGTCTCCAAGAATAGATAATGGCAACCGTCTGATGCAAGTATGCTCAGAGAGTCACCCAGTTGTAGCAAACACTAACTTTATGCATGAGGAGAACATTCTTTTGACCTAGCGAACCCCAAAGTCGTGACAACACTGGACACCACTAGATCACATCGACATTAGCCACCAACGGAGGAGTTCAGTAGGGAATTGTCACTCGTTCTGATGCAAATGTTTAGATTTTGATCATGCTTCAGTGCGAGCACGTATTTGTTTGCGACTCACTGGATGTAGTTAAGACACCGCGAGAAAACATCTTAGGATTCTGCTTGCTGATAGCAGAGCTAAGAATATATTTCAGGAGCAACTGGAGAACCAGTTGAGTGGCGAATTCAGTGATTCCGATCGAGGTAGCCGGTTGGAATGATAGGAAAATGCTGTGGAATCAGCAGTGGTATTTGATACTAAGGTAAAACATATGGCAAGAAAAAAGCTGTGGCATCCACCGAATGCTAGTCAACGTGTCCCACCCGGCTTTGAAAATGATGAAAAGCAAAATCAGCTTATTCGCAAACTGATAAAAGGCAGACGCAATGATCGCGAACAGTGGTGGATGGCAAAAGCAAGTGAGATGGAAATGGCATTAGTCACAGGTAATTATAGACAATCGTCCTGAATTATCAAGGAAGCCGGTATTAGGAATCTTGATGAAGTTGCAAAGCCAAAGGAGAACAGGGGTCCTGATAAACTGACCTGTGGGAATTTTAAGGACTGTAGTCCAGTTTCACCATTTGCATTGAATGATATCTTATATCTTAGAACTTCGATCTTGAAAACTAAGCATAATCGCATTCGACAGGTCTTAATCACTGATTTTCTCAGTCTTCAAAATAGAACAGAAGTCCTACTGTGACAATCATAGAAGAGTCCGTCTCAATAATATGGTCTCCAAATAGTTTGCCTCGATTATTATTAGACGCCTAACTAGCGCCCGTGAGGCGAAGACTGAAGACCCGGACGTGACAACATAGACCACACGTTAACACTACGATAGGTCTTGGAACACAGACACATTTATTAGGCGTCCTAACATACAGCGGCACTTTACTACATCGAGAGTAAGGATCTGTGACAGTTTTTGTCATTAAAATGTGTACCAGAGAAGTACATTACACTTATACAAGCTCTCTACTCGAAAACTGCAGGCTACGTTAGAGCTTATGCTGAACTGTCATCAAACTTCTTTACTTAATGTGGCGTCTGTCATGATTGCTCACTCTCCGTACTTTTTTAAATTTGGCCTGGATATGCTCTTAGGTTAAAATTATAATGCACTGCATTATAATTCTTGAAGAATATTTTCGATCCTCAATATTCTTCCCTACAACCAGTTATTCTACCACATCTACCACTATGGGATTTCAGCTGACAGTTGTGTCCCTGTGCTGATTCAGTGTGGCAATCTAAACTAATGTACGTAGATACGATGTTCTACGTTGTAACTGACTGACCGAATCCATTCATGTTATTCTTCATAATACGTGATTCCTTACTTATAACTATACCATTATCTCCGTCTGTCAATCATAATCAAATTTACTATGATTATTAATTTTTTTAATTTATATTAAAAAGAAAACTGTATGCAAGACATCTCAGTACGAATGATATATTTCGATACGCAATCCTCATTTCACAAGCTTCAATTTCATGCCATGTATTTACCATTAAAATCTGACTACATTTCGAATTATGTTTGATCTAGTTGGGATGACTACTGTAGAAGCTGAAGGCTGAATATAATTGTTATGAATATTCGTCATCAATAGGACGTTGATGACAATGAATATACACGTTGTAAGCGTCCGACGAAAACCTAACAAAATGATTACATATTCATGTATTTTCTCTTTACATCTTGTCCTCACACATTTATATGCATGTATACTTACTTGTGTCACTTGATTGTCTAATAATCGTCAAATGAAATGAAAATAATCTGTAGCAGGAATATGATTATGATCATCTGTTTTTTACATGATTTCTATTTAAAAAAAACGAACCCCGAATAACAGTACATTTGTACTTTGTTATTGATTTTTACTATTCAATATGAAAATGCTTGTTGATATTCTGAATGAATCATTTTACAAAATTCACCATTGTTTCCTTATAGATACGTGCAGTTGTTTGCACTTCTGAAAAAGGTTGGTTGATATAATTTATTATTTGTGAGTGTACACATACATAGGTATAGGTTTACACAAATGATGATTATCCTCATTGATTATTGTCAAAGTCTATTAGGTTGTACGACAAACCATCATAGTGAGAAGTGTTTATTCAAGTCACTGATGCGAACAACTCTACTCACATAATATATAAGTTAGTTGTAACACATTTATCGCACTAGATAGCTATGACCACATAGGGATTGTATTCTAAATAATATAAGCCATTAGACATTATGCAAAATCACAACGAAGAGGTCAGATGAGATATTGTTGGACTTTGCGTGGAGTATAAGCTGAAGACTGAGCTTCGATAACAGAGATGGAATTAATGGATGACCAAACGTTACTTTTCTTGAACGGTGATACATATTATTACATCAGTAAAAACATTTCCGCAAATTATTGATATGCGTAGTGCAATTAACTGGTTCGTTTTGCGTAGCATCTCCTGTATATGATCAAGGTCTACTAAACTCCGTAGAGAGAAGTGCGGATGAAGGATTCCTTAATCTACCATTCAATCATCTCACCTATAAACACTAAATGAAAGCTTTACGCTGTTCAAATATAATGTGTAATAATAGTTTATGATTGCTATAAATGAGAATTTTAATTGTCGTCGATGTAAAATGTTCATAAATAACAAATGTGTCTATTATGTAGCCGAGAATTCCAAGACAAACCCATATTATGAAGAATTTGGTTATGATTCAGCCTGCTTTCATCACGTTTCAACCAGCGTTTTTACGATGAATGAACCTGAAGGGACTCATTATGAACCAAAGGCAGCTTGTCATAAAGTAAGTAAATGAAGTATCTCATATTTCAAAATATAGTTCATATGTAGTCACAGAAAGACATTATGTACGACATGGGTCGTTTCATTGCTTATAAACTGTCTTTGTAAAAGTATTCTTCTCCGATTTCTGCTTCAAAAACGAATTTCACATTCTATTCTCATCATTTGAAATTATCCTTTCTCAGATTCGATGCTCTCTCGAGAACGGTCTTGAAGTTAAATTATTCGAAGATTATTTTCCTTGTCCTGTTAACGGTGGAAATAAGATTATTCAGCTTCATTATGATGGAAATAATTTTCTCAACACCACAATAGACTGTCCGCCTTGTCCATCACTGTGTAAGGTCAGTTTTTCATTTTTTATTCTCAAGTGATAATTCATGTCCATAACGAAGATTTACCAAATATGCTACTCATAGAAAAAAATCTATTGCTGAAATCTCTCCTGATCTCCTTCACAACGAAACTGCAGGTTAGGGCGTTTGCGCACAGTACCGGAGGTCCTGTGTCCGAATCCTGCGAGGAGCAGGAGTCGTGGATGCGCACTGCTGATGAGTCCCATACCAGGACAAAACGGCCGTCCAGTGCTTCCAGGTTTCTAATGGTGGTCTAACATTGATCGATTCATGGTTACAAATGAAACTGCAGATGTTATGAACCTTCTGTGTCACCGAAAATAAATTAATATACTCAGTTCTAACTTGATGAAGCATAATATGCTTTACTGAATATCGATGAAAATTCTATTCAGTCAAATATCGGAAAATTGCAACACATTATATGCGTTGAATCATGCATGAGAAATGTATACAATTCTAACCATTGGTTTCTTCACGTATTTTTCGTATTATAGGAAAAGTGTCCAAGGTCTTCGAACATCTATCGAACGCGCAACTGAAATAAACTTAATCAACTGAAATATTCATTTGTCTGCGATTAAATTTCTTCTTAAAAATATATGTTGGCAATTTGTTTTATTCATATCATCCCTGCGATCAACATTCAAACTTTGCTGCTTGCTTTTTTAATCAGAGTTTCATAAAGTAATATATACTTTGAATAAATAGAACTTGGTTAGTTTGCTCTGGACGATGTTTCACTAGTTTTGTGACTGTCGGTATTCAACGTGTTCTAAGACTTCGTAATTCGCTCGTCCAGACAATCGCTACTAAATAGCGTCTGACCGTGAAGTGGTAGTGTTGAGTTCATTTGCATGTATGTTGGCACACCACAAAATCGAACTATAGACTGATAGCACTCAAAGATCAAATCGTCATGCGAGCGTCTGGATGCAATCAACTAAATGAATCACGAATAAAGTGAAGTAGAGTGGAGAAGGCTCGCGAGAAAACTCGAAAGGATAAAGCATGACTAGGAATTGATAGTCAGACAAGAATAAGACAGTCATGTAACAAGCGAGATGGGCATTCACACACATGAATGAAAGCGCCGACTGGTTGACAAGGTCAAATGACAAGTGGGTCAAGTCATGTTAGCTAGACATTAAATGACCCAATACAACTCATTATCTCATATCGTTGTTACATGATCCGATTGCTATGATAATTTGCCTTAACTTTTGAAATCATACGCCGGTTACATAAGTAAGAGTGATATTTTAAATTTACCAATTATATACATATATATATATATATATATATATATATATATATATTTATATACATTTATAAGATCTGTGAATAATATGAAATTAGGTATTTAGCATTTTCAATATCGTGAAAATGACTGAATGATTTATAGAATACATAACATCAATCGAAATAATAAATGATCTAATGTTTTCTCATTAACTGAATGAATATATTCATGATTATTTATGACCTCATGAATTTCCATAAACAATGAGAAGTTTCAGTTCATCGGAAATATTTTCGTAGGTTCAATCTGTATGGTGATCAACACACATTCCGTAAGGCATTTTATACATGAAAATTATTCAAGTTAATGTTCACATAAACATATAGTGATAATTGTCACTGAAGAAGTGAGAAAACGAACGTAGTAGGAGAAGAATAGGTGGAAATGGTCACGTTCACTTGTAATGTAAGATGGTGCACGTTTCGTTAACCAGGTTAAATTTGAACTTGCAAAAACTCATTTCTTGTACACATTAAAGCAGATGAAATTAACAAATCGTCAAGGCTTATGTTAACTTCAGAATTCGTATGTGACTATTTCTACACAACATTTTGGAAGCTGTTTTGATGTCATTATTATGACAAGTTTCAATGTTGCGTTTTGCTATTGATGAATATGCTTATCTACTTTTCCAAAGTCTATCAGGTCATTTGATTTTACTTAATTTGGATGTAATTTATGGGCATGTTGCATAAGGATTGACTGAATCATTAGAATAATATGAGTTTGAATGAAACAAGTTTATTGTTAAATGGAATGGACTGTGACGTATTCATCGCGTCCTAGAAATGTGACAAGATGACGAAAATTGGCCTGCCTGTTGAAGTTCGTGAGGATCGATCATGTTGTATTAAATAAAAATTTTCTGAAGAAAATTCTTTTTTTAAGGCTCAGAAATAAAGTCTCATCGATGTTTCGGTTTCTGAGTCTGAATTCAAAGCGATTGATAGGTTCCAGTTGGAATAAGTCAAATGGCAGGTTGATCCTTGATAACTACAGAGGTGAAATTAGACAGTCAACGTAATAAGGTAGTTCTTGTTAACTATGCAATGAAAAATCGAACAGTTTATCACGAAAATTCGTTACGTAGTAATTAGTGCCAGACATTCGATTCTTTCAATGTTTGTTCAAGGGATTCAGGTGATATGAGGACACATAAATTAGCTATCCAAGTAACTCATTTTTCCTAAAAGTATGAATAAGGATATCGTTATTTAGTTGTGAACAGAAAGAAAACAGGCGTAGCTAGAATAATGACAGAGTTTCCTTGTATTATGTGTAAGAGAACCAAATCGAAAATTTCAACGGAAACACATGCAGTCGTTTTATTTCTTTTTGTGACTATAAGCATTATTTTGAACTGCTAATACCAGGTGTCTCTAACATATATATTTATATCTGATAAACTCATCGACCAGGTACTCAGATACAAACAGGGGTAAACGTGAGAGCGAAATTTACTACAAAATACCAGAATTAAAGTATGCGAAGCGACGGGTCTAAATTTTGATGCCTAAACCACGAAGCCACATGCAGATAAGTGCATAATGAAAAGAAGGAATACAACAGAGTTTAACGTTTAAGTTTAAGTCAGAAAAAAGTAAAATGGTGCATATCTGATCTACAATTCACTTTGCTGTTGCAATTACGAAGAGTTTCAACTCAAACAATGTCATTTAAGGTAGGACAAACTGTGGAAAATCTCACAGAGATAATCAGTTTACTCGACAACCTATTGATAAAAATCAAAAACACTGAACACAAAACGTGCAAACATGCTTTCAGATACGAAATTTATCATTCTTAGAGTGCAATTTTATTCATGGTAAAAATCTTTTCTAATCGCCTTTTAGTTAACCTAGCTTCTGGAAATATTTTCTCATATTATTCAATCGCGTATGTTTTAGAAATAGCATTCTGAATGATCGATTTATGTCCTCGAGATTTTCACACATTCTATGAATTCACTAAATGACTTAGTCAGTTTTCATTGTTCAACCTGTGGAACAATCACAGAAACTGAACGGAACATAATTTAATGCACCAGGAATGATAAATGTATATATATCACTACTGGTTGAAAGTTTTCGATGTACGCTTTCATGAGGTAATAAAAAGGTATGTCTTCATAGCCATATTCAAATGTTAAATTCTGCACATTTCTATTTATACCACAATAAAGAATTTCGCGTGGTCGTGCCTGTATTGGCAAAATTATGTAGACAGTATCGATCGTTGAACATTTATGATGATTATCAAATGGCATCTCACTTTACTCACTGAATTCACATAGAAATTCACGTTTCCAGTTGAAAAAAATTAAAATTGATGTTTTTATGAAACAGTTAGACTATCACACTGAATAATTGTACATTTCATTTCTAATCATCAAGATTGATGACGATAATGGTCATTGTAATTTAGCAATAATGATTCGATTTAAACGCTTTCTTATTTGATAAATTGACTGATGTATAATGAATTATGATTCATTTCGTAGTATTATGGGTGGACTGCATTGAATAAAAAACCTGATGATACACGTATATGGATAATTGATACAATGTGGCTATCAGTGGATTCCATTTAACACGTTTGAGGTAAAGTGGTACTTAGTTTGAGCTGGGAAGTGAACATCAGTTCTGCGATGAAGGATCATCTAGAGACAGAAAACTTCCAAAATAGAACGAAAGGTGAATTCCTTGTTCCACTGATAGCTACATTGTATCTTCACTCTTTGTACATTTATCATGACCGCTCATCCAAAGCAGTCTGTATAGAATGCCAATGTACCAAAGTTATCTCATCGAATACACAGTCATAATGTCAACCACAGTAAATTAATATTACCTTTGTGTTTTTCCAACTTCTTTGGACATTATCAGTGCAACTATTTGCGTACAATGAGACATTTTCTTCTACTTAGCACAGATAACCTGGTATCTCTTGAAGTTCCATTCTGTCTATTCCACCTTAATAAGGAATAATAATTTCCTTTTGATTTGAAATTCAACTGACTATGTGAATGATGAGAATACATATTGTGCAGAGTATGAACAAACTGATAATATTTCTTAACTAGAATAATCTTCTTCGTTTGCCAATTTTTGCACGTTTTTAACGGATTGTTAACGTATTTTGTCAAACCGTAATGGACACCGATCTCTTAATTTCACTTGTTCTACTGTTTACCATTTTCTATTTCTACATTGTTCTTCGTAATTTTATTCATGGGTATCCAACGCTTAGTTTTATAATTCGTATGTTCTATAGTATGACTCAAATAACGATTGCGAATTCTATTCACTGATTTTCGATGTGAGGCTAATTAGGAAAGTAGACTATTCACTGTTAATAATGAATTCATGAATTGATTATTTCCCACCATCATGTTAGATAGAATAGATAATGGCAACCGTCTGATGCCAATATGCTCAGAGAGTCACCTACCTGTAGCAAACTTTAGGCATAGGGAGAACATTCTTTTGACCTCCTGAACCCCGAAATCGTGACAACACTGGACCCAAACAGATCACATCGACATTAGCGAGCGATGGAGCAGTTCGGTAGGGGATTGTCGCTCCCTCTGTTGCAAACGTGACATGGAAATGCAGTAGTCGTATTTGTTCATAGACAATTGTCCTGAATTGTCAAGCAAGCTGGTATTTGGAATCCATTTGTTAGCGAAATTATCTGAGAAAAGAAGGACTGCATCATTCATTCTTAACTCAGGAGTTGGGTTCGGTGAGCCGAACACTTCAGGGATCAGTTATACTGGCCTTCAGTCATAAATCAGTTGATGACGATCTCTAATCATCTTGAATGTCTAATCTTTCCTTGTCCTCTTGTAACAATAATAAAGTTTCGGAATCGTTAGCCTCGATTATTCTTAGAAGCCAATCTAGCGCTCGTGAAGAGCAGACTACGGAAAATCAGTCCTGTTTCAGACACGGACAAGACTATACACACAAGACTATATACAAATAAACAGATTTGAGCGTCTGACCTTACAGCCGCATTCAAGCGTGACGTTCCGCAGCAGTGTTTGTCGTAAAGATGTGTACCAGAGATATACATTACACTTACACAAGAATTCTACTAGAACACTACAGGTTAATTTAAAGCTTATGGTGAACTGTCATCAAATATCAATCTGGATAATATTGTGAAAGTATTATTCGAATCAGCAGTGGACTTAAAAAAGTACAGAATTCGAACAAAACTAAAATGCGAAGTGCATATCAAGACGTAATTATTATTCGTCAAGAAATTCATTGTCAGAAGCGAGAGAGGATTTCAATAATATTCATCAAAATGCGAAGTAATTGACATAAAGGCTACATGACGTTTACGAACATGCGTGTAGTGTGTGAAAATAACATATCCATGATCGTTTCATATCAGATACACAGATAGCGATTTCCACATACACAAATCAGATGTCAAATAAAAATAAATTGATTGTTGCTACAAAGAATTACGAATAGGCTATTAGTGATGAAATGATGTATATCTACCAGGAAAATTGGTGCTTGGTAGTCACGATCAAACACTACAAGGCAAATATGCGAAACAACGAAGTTTTCCTGAATTTCAACAGCAATATCCGTTAGCGGAAAAATATCCACCAAACGAGTACAGCTTCGAGAAGCGTTCATAAATTGCTATTATTAGAGATTTTTGAGGAAAATGTTTGAAATATGAAAGCATCTGCTCTATGAGATCAATGTCGCATGAGAATAGCATATCTATCGCAAAATCCAGACATCGATTATTGCTCGTTTCCATAGATTCCTTGCACAAGCACACTTTCTGCGTCTACGTATGAAACAAATTGTAAGCCTTCGCGTCAGATTGTGGTGAATGTTAATCTTCTGAATATATTCGGTATCAAATTTTGCGTCTGACTGTTTTTTTGCCATTTTTGCGGCCTGATCAATTTCACATAAATGCTACATGTCTTTTTCGGACTTTCTTGTAATTTTATCTCTTGTAGATAGGTGTCAGGTACTACCAAAATTTTGAATATTGAGGACAATTCGAGAAGTCAAACAGTACGGTTGTTGCATGATTTGCTCACATCTGAAATGAATTCGTATAAAAATGTCAGTTACAATGCGCCTAATATAAACAGTGACTTAGTTAAGTGCGTACAATCGTTGCATCTTGCTTCATGACGTCTTGGCAATGTGAAACTCACAAAATTACGAGTGTTGATGTAGTTGTGCCAACGACAGTCAATGTGCGTTCTAATCAGCCAGTTTACAATTAAATACTGTCGATCGGCCCCGTATGCATCCTGTCTATTTCAAGTAGAAACTAGGGAGATTTGTGTGCAACTAGAGGAATTGAATGCTACCTACGAGGGTATTAAATGAACAAATAGAACGCGGCACTGAAGTCCTTGTATTTTAAATGTTTGGACAGTCGGTTATATGGAAGCATGGTGAAAGTGAGTTCACGCGTACAGATGAATCAGCGCAACCGCGAGCTTCATGAGGAAGTTGTACAAGCTCACGTTACTCACTTGCCATGTGCGCAACTCATGAATAATTTGAAATGACACTATAAATGTGCGGCTTACTTTGATTTAATCGAAAGAATATAGTCCATAAATTTTGTGGTTTTGCAAAAGAAGTGTAAATTCACAGTAGTAAGAAACAATATTTCAATCTCGCGATTCTACTGGTGCAAGATTGCACTTTTCGTGTCCTCCGTGTGAACGTATCTCACTCCCACTTATCCTTACTCTCAGTTTACTTTGTTCACGTTTCGTTTGATGAGAAAATAATGATAATGAGTTCGTGCGAAACTGTAATATGTTGAAGACTACATGAACCTTTATTGTTTTCACCCCTGATAGTAGGCATATATAAACCTTTGTGCTGCATATGCATTTTGTGCCAGGTATTACTCATGAATTTCGTCGGAATAATATTTCTTCTCTTATTTCTTTTGTTCAGAAATAATTCTGAACACGTTTGTCGACTTCCTCAGTTTGATGAACCGGTTAGTTTTCAGTTTGTTTTTATTTTCTTCTGTTACCTTATCAGAAGTTCGGTGTTTACTCAGGTGTCATTAATAAACGCTATGTTGGTCGGCAGAATTTAAAAATTACAGTGTATTATGACAGAGCATTAGTCAATAGTATAGCTTTTTCAAAAGTCATGGTTAGTTCCTAATTTTTGTGTGGTCTTATATTCAAAAATGAATGAAGAATAATGGCAAATGATATTCTTTCTATGCATGCTAATACTAATATTTATTTTTACCATTCATAGATTGATTATTCATCTGACTTGTTTTAAATGAACACTTTGATGACCGAGAAAGAGCATCAAGTTAATATTTTGTTAGGAAGGAAATCGGCATCACTGTGGCAATGGCAGGATATAAATAACGGTATAATTTTTATTCGGACTTTCCTTGAGATTGGTAAGGCATGCCACAGCTATATGTCGGAACTTAACTCTTGATATATATATAAATATATAGTCAATATGTGTTTCTTCAGCATTTCCATGACAAACGATCTGCTGAGTAACTTGCCACAGCCAAATAGCTAATCTGTTTTGGGATAGTAATGATTCGGAATTTCGATAATCTATCCATATCCATGAATGTGACTTTGCGAAATAATATAGTTCTTTTCAGTTAGCAATCAGATATGATAATTATGATAAGCACTGGTTTGGACTCAGATTAGTGGCAGTTTATTCAGTGAGCTCACATACATAGGAAGAGATATCGGTTCTCGCGAATTTATACTCTTCAACAACCACTCATTCTATTCCTGGTTTCATCGATCATTGTCCATCGCCAGTTCTCCGCCAAATGTGTTCTTCGGTCTTCCACTTTTCTTTTCCCTTCATTACTCATGCTTTCAATTTCCTCGTCATGACGTTGGATTATTTCAGCAGTGAATCCCCATCACCTACAGCATCGTTTCCGGATTTTCAAACAGACCTATATTCCTTCTCTGCTATAGGACGGTATTTTCTATAGCGTACGGTCAGCTGATCCAGAGCATAATGCGTACATAACTGTTTCTCAACACCTGTGTCTTTAGTCATTATCTCGGTTTCAGTTGCATACATTAAAACATTTCTGATGTTTGCGTTGGTGATGCCCAATTTTTTGCACGTGTTGAGTTCCAGATGTTCTTAAACTGTATATATGCTGCCTACGCTTCGTCGATTTTGTTATTCAGGTCTGCATGCCCGGCGCGAATGTACAGCTTTCCACTACTTGCTGAACGTAGTTTGTAGAGTGTGATTGAGTTGATGCATGACGTATTGTATATGATGATGTTGCATTTCCATTTGTGCATGTGAGAACAGTTTGATGCAAAGACAGCTATGACACTAGCTAGATAGAATAGTTACAAATGCTTTCATGTTTACCGTGTAAGGTCAATAAAGTTAGGTTAAACATACGAGTCTGTGTCAGACAGCATATTTACATCATGTCACTGAATGAACAGTTTCATACAGTCACATTTTCTATTGATGGACACAAAATGATTAGGCAAACAGTAAACGTGTTGGTTGGTCAGCACGATGCATGGGTTAGTTTGTTGGAAAGTGTCGATCGGAAAGTGATTTACACAAGCTATGGCCAAGACAAACGCACGAACGGTGCGTCTTGCCTAAAAGCACCATTGGTGTTCCATTATGAATACGGTTCTGAGAAGGGGGGAAATGAAGAGTGAAAGAGGTAGCAAAAAAGCAACTGTAAATGGAATTATGTATATAATCAATGTACTGTGTAACCTGTCTTGATGAAGTAGAAAATACTGTTTGTAACTCAAGTTCAAAAACATGGTCACCACAAAATGAAAGTAAATTTTAGTAATAAAGCCAACAAATGAAGAAGTTCAGAAATGAAGAAAAAGAGATTTCTGCTATGTGTTACGTGATGTTGATAGAAGAGAAGTTGTAGTAAGGAGCTTGATTCCCATACATTGAAACTGAAATATCAGTAAGAACAGTTAAGTTTGTAAAGCAACATAAAAGCATTGATAATTATATTTTTATTGTCTAACATTATTTTGTAATCAAACATCGACCTCTGACTCTTACTGCAATTGCCTGAATAAGCAAGTTTCAGGTAGTATTGACAGAAGAGTAGCGATCGCAGCATATATATATTTAAATATTGAAGTGATGTGTTAAGGAAGACTGATCAATGGTTGGCAATTAGTTCATATTACAAAATGATTAAAGATAGTTTGAAGTTTTGTCATGTATACATTTCTATCATTAATTGCACAAATAATTCATGTTGCTATACATTTTAATTTATGTCACTACAGACAGCAATTGAAAGTGCTTCCAGATATTGGGAGAAAGCTTTGATTGTTAAAACAAATGCGAAGCAGAATTTGTTTGTTGAAAGGTAAAATTATAAATGTCTCTTCTCTGTAACCAATTTTGATATTGTATTTTGAAATAATTTGAAAATAATGAAAATAATGGTTTAATTAGCTATTTTATTATTGTTAATAATACTGCTGAAGCAAATTACAAGCCGGTACATCATTTTCCATTTTTTATTGTAAAATCGTTGACTAATCATCCATGACTTAATTCATCTGACCTATATTTACATGCGATCCATTTTCAACGTCTAACGATAGATTGAAAACAAAAATACAAACAAGCAACTGATGTTTTCAAAATGTGCAAAAATAAACAAACCTCCATGAACTCCAATCGAAAATATGGTGAAATAGGCTCCAAATTCGTAACCAGCTTCGTGTGGAAATGCTCGGAGATCTAGGGAGAGGACTTTAACATCAGTGGAGTCCAACGCTGTCGGCTGTAGGTAGGCAGTAACTACCTAAGACAAATCGGTGGGGTCGCGAAAAATCCCTAGATCAATCGCAGTTAGACATGAACAATGTTAGATACCGAGGTCGAGGGTTCGAATCCTGCTAAGTGGAGTACCAGTTGTAAATGTGCAATTCTGATGAGTCGTATGCCAGGACGAAACGAGAGTCTTTCAGTGCTCTCAGGTTTCTAATCATGCTGGTCTAAAAATGACTGATTATTGATTTTATTTGTGTGAAAGACTACTAATCTTCATGACTCTCATTGAAAATCGATACCATATTGAATGAGATTGAATTGAGTACTAACTTGGATATATTTGATAAACAAAACAACAATTGTATTCATTGACTTTGTCAGGCGAATAATACTTATTTCTGTGTTTCGGATCATCATCACATATGAATTATGTCTGTTTTTAATTTTCATTTTAAACATAAATGTATTACTAAAGGTGACAATGTATTTTTTGTCAATGCAATATAATGTTAGTCGTTTATTTATGAATCTACAAAATTCAAATGGTTTGATTTTATCATAATGGATTCATTGATATTTTAGAGAATGTGAAGAGGATAAACCGAAACGAACGTCTACTTATGAAAGGAGACCGCACTGTTATCAGGTACAATGTAAAAGTCATGTAAAATGTAGAGACCTACCTATTCCTGATAAGTATTTGAAGGTAAGTGAATGTGGAGAACAGGAATTTTTATATACTAAGTGGCTTCATTTATTGTTATTTTGAATTATTTGTTGCTATTAGTGTTTAGGAATCTTAAATTATTTGAGATCAGTGACTTGTAAAACTTGAACAAATGGTTTGAATTTGTTTTTCCAATTCAGACTTTTCATGATTATTCGATGCTTTGTTATCAACAAAGTCTTTAAATTTCAATAAGATTTTACTTTCATTTATCCCAGATACTGTACATTCTGATTGTATTCCTTAAGCGACTTGTAACAAATAACCAGTAGATTGTTGACTATAATCAAGTATAGTTCTTGCGAGTTACAGAGCATTTACAAAACTTTTTTCAGATATTCAGTTTTTCAGGAAAAGACTAAATACGACTAAATTTGTTTATCACAAATAAAACAAAATCATTATGGTATGAACATGCAAAACGTATGCACTTCAGCTGGGTGTATCAAGACTAGATGGTTAAGTCTCACTTTAGTCAATATTCCATCAATGTTAGACCACCTGAAAGCACTGCATGTCACTTTCGAGCTTGTATGTATGTTAAAGACAAAGGGCGTTTAATTCTGATGAGAAGACTTGAATAGTATTTTCCAGCCGTGTTGAGTGTGAATTTTTACCCACAGAAAAGTGATGTGATTGGTCATCATTTACAATGTTGAAACCTAACTCGCCTCTGTAAAATTTGAATATTCACACGCTAGAGCCGATGTCCTGAATTCAATTCATTGTCGTGAGGGAACTCAGATGATGATTCCAGATTTCTCACAGTGGTATAAAACTGATCCATTCCTAATTTTATTGAAAGAAGCAAATGTGCATTGGTTGCGATATAACAATACAGCATTTCAATTAATACTATCATAGAAAACAGAAATAAAATAAAACTGAAATAGTGATCGTTGATGTTGATATATTGTGTATATATTTAGAGGAATTTCAAAAATTCGATAAATGAACAACATCTCTATTCATCATAATTTTGCTTCAGAAACGGAATAGGTTAACAAATTGTGACAAAAAAGCAGTAAAATCAATGATAGTCAGGATATATTACACTGAATGAAATGAAATTAAATGCTAGAATTTGTGTCATTTCAAAATTTTCAGGGATGTTATCATCGTAAATATGCTGAAACCTGGCAGGAGTATTATGATGGAGAAGGAGTAGCGCCAAATGAGTTGATACTTCTTGTGAAGCATAACGTTTCTGACGAGTGTCACCAAGGAGCATTTGCATGGGCCACCTATTGCAGTCTGGACCCAGCATCACAGAGGTAAATTATTTATTTCAGTATTTTGTTCCACACAGTCATGTAAAAATTCACCAAAAGACATTTAATGCAAACGTTTATCACATCAGCAACAGATTATCATACCAAACAAAAATAAAACAACTCGAAAATAAAAGCGTTTTTGAATATTGAAGTTCCACGATCTAGATGTGATGACTAAATCCCACTTATTCGATTTTTTATAGTGAATCTGCGCCTAATTATGGAATCACTGTATATTTATACTTTATTATGAAAATGTAAACAAATGTATTGTTTACGCAAAATTTAGATATAATAAAATAATACTACACTGTGATTTGATGCAATTATAACACCACTTTCCTTAATGCTAGTAGTGCGCACATTGTTTTCTCACACATTTATTTCCTTCGATGAACTTCATCTTTAAAATTTCACTCAGAGTTGAATGATTCATTCTTGATTTGACATACAGAATTGAACAAATTCTGACATTCTTGTTATTAATATAATATATATATGGGTAGAAATGTATATACATATATATATATGTACATATATATGTACATATGTACATATATGTACGTATATATATATATATATATACACATACATCCCTTCAGTAAATTGCTCATCTAATGCTCTGAGTGGGAACCATTGTTCAGTATTTGATTTTATTACTGAACAAGGTTTTTTTTTGCAATGCTATTGTCAGAGAACGGGTCCTAGTTAAGGGTCCAGGTCAATAGATGAAGGTTGAAAGATTGCTAGGAGCTGATAGGCCTAAAGATGGCACAAATCGATGAAGTCATTGAAGTCATTGGACTGAAGCCATGTTGGGAGTTGACAACTATCTGGTTTTTGCCTGCGAGGTGATAGTAATTGACAGTTGCAGCCTCCGTATATCATAGCTCAAAACCAACTGAAATGGCGCAGGTCCTCTCACTCATTGTGTTTTATGAGTTTCCATCCTCCTGAACTCCTCATCATCTCTATATACATCCTTCTTAAGTAATCCCTCTGAATTATACTTCTCGAATAACATCTTCAAACCCTAATCTTCTTCATAACTGTTAATACTTTCACTATGTTTACCACTACGGCATTTTAACTGACAACTGCATCTTTGTGCTATGGTAGAATGACAACTGGAACTGCTGTACGTATGTACGAAGTTCTGTTGTTGTTTACTTGACTTGAATTCTTTTGATGATTAATTTTTGTTCATTGTCTCTGTTCGCCTGAGCATATTTTTTTCTCACTTCATTACACACTGATTTTTATTTCAAACCATTACAAAAGAACAGAGGATAATAAACTCTAAATGCTGTATGAACATTTGAAAGTCATCAATTTCATTTAGTAAATTTCAACAGAATAGAAATTTATAACATTTCCTTGACTGAAACTTCATCTAGAATATTTGTGAGTTCTATTATTCAAAACAAAATCACAGTACAAACGTTCAGTCATATTTCATTGATGTACAATTCACTATAATACAGAATATACTCCGGTAATTGTTTAGGCAATGAACATTTAAAATTATTTTGTCATATTATTTCATGACAAACACTGAATACTACAGCTAAAATAAACATTGCTGTGTAATCTAACAATGCAAATAAATATAATCTACTGAAAACTGTGTTTATTTCGATGCATATAATTAGGCCATTCATTGGTGCTGTAAATTTTTGTGCATCGGAGAAGGAACTTATCCAAACTGAGAACGAAGAAATGGAAACTACTGCTAAACATGAAATAGCTCATGTATTGGTAGGTTGATGCTTCGGATAACGTTTCTGAACCTGTAAATAAATCCATATCGAAGCATTATCTTCTTGTATTATACAAAATATTATGACGTTGTTAACCCAGTATGTTTACTTGACTTGGGATGAGTTTATAAAATTTTTATATTCTATATTTAAGTTGACTGTATGTCATGTGGTTAAGAGATTCACATCTTGAAATCATGAAACAATCTAAGACCGCTATTTGAAGACTCAAACGACAGGCTGGTTATTTACTCAAAGTTTGAGACTAATCGTTTGGTAATGTTGCATGCACAAATCAAACATAAGACTTCATGTTTCGTAAGTGAACGCCTAACTTCTAGATCATATTGTCAGCGTCAATCACAATTCGACCATACGCGACAAACTTAGATAGCATCATATTTTAAATGAATGTGAATCACTGACACAAGAATGTGATAACTCAATGGGAAATTGACCACCTGCACTCAATAAGGAGACTTTTCAAAATTCGACAATCGGTAGTTTCATTATGAGAATGTTTACTTTTTTCATGCATTTTCGAATATAATAAATGAGCTTTTTGAATAGTCACCGATGAAACTTGAAAATCAATGTGCATAAAGCTGCAATAAACTAATAATGTGACAGTGTTGGATTCTGAGAAAATTTAGTGTCCATCTAAAAGTAACATCTTTTATCACCAAACTTTAACCTTACGCAAAGTAAACTCACAACTTCTCTCTTTCACAATCTCACAATGAAAGTGATGTTTATAAATGGATAGAGGAATTTTCATGTAAAAACAATTATCCAGCTAAACAAACGAAAATTCACTTAAACAATAAACATAGTTACCAATAACGAATAAATAATTGTTTCATTATTTTTTTTGGTAAGGGATTTCATCCGACTTTTTTCAGTCGTCATGAAGATATCAGTCAGAATATTGATGTCACTAAAGAGTAAGTTTTCTTATCGTCGACCATTCTCTTCAGTTTGCATCAGTATTGTATGTTTTGTTCATTCCATTGTTCCTTGACAGTACATTTTGAACTGAATAACCTAGGTTATGGTATCTAAATATTATCGAGTAAATAAATAGTATTAATAGAAGAATTAATTATCAATCCTCTACTTGAAAAAACTAACAGTCTACAAGACAAGTTAATTAAAATAATCACGAATCTGTTAACATCCATTCAAAACTGTGTAAATCAACTTATCTCTCGACTTCGATGCGTTCTGTAACAAAAATGTCTTCTCGGAAATCCAGACATTCGCCAAAGAACACTAAAAAGCACAAGCAGACCACTTATTATCCCTTGAAACTAGAAATTCTGTAAATTACATCAAAAATAACACTGAGCGCTATTCTCAACAATACCATACTATCATACACAAACTCAAATTTCACAATTAATATTTTTTCAACTCAACTACATTTCAGAATTTAAGTATTTTTCTTATCTCCATCATACAAACAAATATCACAGTAAAGTGTCATACTGCATCACAACACCTTGACCGAAATAGATATGACATTCAAACCTATTATAATTGTAGTTCAACTGAAGATATTATGTTTCGTTTCCTTATTTTGTCTATTTAAATGTCACTTTATTAATCCCGGTTATTTATTTATCCACTCTGACGAAGTGACTTAAATTAACTCCTGCAATAATAGAACAACAGATCATTATTATTATTATTATATTTTTAGATGTCGCCGAAATTCATTCATCATTCGATGACCTATTAATTATCAAACTTATTTCAACACATTGATAGGATATTGAACCACAATAGTTAACTGTTTTCCTTTTAGATAATTCAATTGAATCTGTTAGATTAAATCCAAGTTTATAATTCGCATTTTTTTTGCTACCAAACTAGAGGAGTTAAAGCGCTTACTTTGCCTCACATGCTTGTAAGTCACATTGTTATTCAATTATCATAAGTTGAGACTGTTATTTTTTTGAAATGAATAAACGATGACACTCACATTTGTGAAACAAATCCGCCATCCAATATCGCAATATATCTTTTGCTTTAAATTATTTGATTTTGAGATGCATTTCAGGGTTCTAAATACCTCACTTATTTAGCTATTTTCAATATCGTTGACTAGAATATGTTTTTCGATTAAATAAGTTTTCTGTAATGTAGCGGGATGATGAGGTTAGAAGTTTTATTCTGCGATTGTTACATTCAACTCTATCGACTTACTGACTTGTTCGCACTTGTCACCTAAGCATAGGGACCCAACAGCCATTCTGCCATTTCTGTGTTCTGGGTTCGCATTTCCAGTTCTGTATTATGTTTCTTCATTCTTCTTATGTCCGTCTTTGTTTCTAAGGTTATTGTGTTTCTTGGCTCTCCGCTTTTCATTTGATCCTGAGTGTTTCACGTGAGGCTTGCCTTGTGATGCAGTTGGATGCTTTCCGGAATCTATATTCTATCTATCTCCGGTGCTTATTGCTGAAAAATTAATTCAAATTTCATTTTACTTGATCATATGTTTTCACCTAATCGATTTTTAAACATGAGCTAAAGGCCATTTTCTACTGACAGTTCACTTAGTACTGTCTACTGCTCTGATGCAGATGCACGATATGTACTCCACATATGATATGACTCTTCACTCTCACTCCTAAAGACTAATGCAGATAAATACGGCTCGCTAATAGCAGTCTTTGTATCGGTAGGTTCCAGCATGCTCAAAGAAATAGCAACCTTTTCCGATACAAAAGACCATGCACTAAACCAATGAACGGATTCCTGTGAAAGTAAAGTCTGAAAGAGGGTTTTATTGCAAAATGTTGATCCATAAAATATGTTCTAAGAATCCTATCAGGAGGTAGGAAGAAAATGTGTGAGTAGCGCATACTCCGATTATCACATTTCCAGTTAATTTTAGTTGGACTATAATTACTACATCATGCTTCATCCGATTAAATTTGAATAACCTTTGCCCCTATACACACCACACCTGTGCATCACTTATCCTCATTACATGAAACAAACAAACAGTCGGTATTTTTGACTTCTAGCTGACTTACACAAAGTGTAACAATCAGACATAGTTTAATAAACTTGTTTCATTGGAGGTTAAATTGTTTGTTCAAATTAGTTTCGAATCCTGTGCTACCAAGACACTATATTTAAAGTACCTTTGAATGTAGTTAATGTCAATCGATATCTTTTCACTAAAGGAAGAAGCAAGAAATCATTTTGGGTGCAGTGAAATGCATTCGATAGAAATACAACATGACCATCTTAGTCATAGAATCATGGGAGTAAGTAGTTTTCAGTCTTACGTTCATCATTGCCTAGAGCATTTTAGATTAAAACTCATTTATTAGGTCTGCTATAACATGATGTCATACAATAGCTTGTTTTGCATGAACGTATGATTCAGTTTATTAGAAGTAGTCTTTAAATAGGGACAAACTGAGAAAAGAATAATAATATATAAATAAATTCTGGGACAAATTAAATGAAGCCGTTCAGTGTAATTTTCATCCATGCATAATGATCCAATTCATCTAAATTTATCGAGATATTATTAATGATCAATGTTTTGAAGAACAAGCAGTCAATGTGGATAGCATTGAATTTCATTTATTTCCTATTTATCTCGTGTGTTAGATTTTTTGTTTTATTACTCATGAGTAGTTTCATTTCCAGAACTTGTGTTGCACATATATTTGTTTAGATAGGATTCTAGTATGCACAAAGAATTGTGACTGGAGATGCAACGAACACGTTCCCATATACAGACTTCATTTCAACTGAATAAACCAATTATTTTTCGATAAAATATGGTGAACGTCATGGTTAATGACACGATTCTTGGAAATTATTAGAAGCATCACGAAGCGAACAAAAATTGCAAATAAATACTAGATAATACTAATAAACAATCAATGTTAACTAAGAATATTATTTGAAAACACTTTCAATCCATGTGGATGAATCGATAATGTTTTTTACACAAACTATGAAATTTTCAGGACGAATTGATGACTTATTCCAACCGAGGTTTAAGTCCTGTTTCTAGAATCACCCTAGCTTTCTTCAAGGACACAACGTAAGTTGTGCGCATTTTTGTATATATATATATATATATATATATATATATATATATATATATGATATATATATGTAATTATTCTACTCACCTTCCACCCTAGATATTTCTTCACGGTTTAAGACACGAACAAATACGTGATCAGAGATCAGTACACTTCGATACTTCAAACCAGAGGTTGTCTCGCAACAAAACCGTTATGATGGAAAATAGGCAGTTAACAGTGATTCATATCTGATACTTCAAAGGTTGATTCTGAACTTTCACTAAATATAAATCAAGTTACATTGATTTTGTAATCTGGTGTAGATTTACGATAGTAATCCTGTTAACCAATCAGTCAAAACAATATGAACAATGGAATTATAGTCAACAAATTGACAATTATATTTTGTTTGCCTACAAATTTTTATGGAGTCATATTAAAGTAAGTTTTTTTAAAACACTGGAAAGATCAGTTATTGCGAAGCCCTCTAAGGATTAGTGAAACGCTTCCCGAAATAATTAAAAATACGATCAGTTTACTAAAATTAGCGAACTATTTACTTATTGAATGTAAAATACTACAACGAAAACGTTTTCAAGACACATTTTCGGAGTTTGTAAAGTATAATTTTCCAAATAAAAGAGAAGCAAGAGATGAAGTATATACAAACCAAAAAATTAAATAACGTCTGTTTCTACTTTCGTTATACTTTTATTATCTGACTGTTCTTGATTTTTTTCAATCTGTTTAAGGTTTTACGATGTCGACTTCTCTATGGCCGAAGACCTCATATGGGGAAAAGGACTGGGTTGTGACTTTGTGATGAAAAGCTGTAATGAATTTATTAGATCACGGAGAAGCAGGTAATGCAAGAATACAATTTTTTTTTCGAATATCATTTAATTAACTGCTTGATAGTTTACGTAATTTCAACCCGAAACTGTTAAAA